AAAAAAAAAAAAAAAAACTCAAAAAAAAAAAAACCTTGAAGTGATATAATAAGATCAGAAGTGCTATCTTAGAGAAACCACTTAGTAACTGTGTGACTTTCAGAGAGTTACTTAACCTCTCTGTGTTTTGACTTCCTTATCTGTAAAATGGAGTTAATAATTCCTTACTTCCTGGGGCAATTATGAATATGAAAAATAATGCACAAGAGGCACTCCTCATTAGCATGTAACAAAAGATGCAGGATTAAATTTAAGTCTCTTCCTCTGTCATCAGTGAACTTTTTAAAAAATTATTTAATTATTATTATTTATTATTATTTTATTTTTTTTTTGTTATAGGCAACACAGAGAGAGAGAAAATGAGAAAGCAAGACACCAGATCCAGGACTCGAACTGTGGTTGACCATGTGGGAGACCAGAACCTTAACCACCAAACTACTTGCTGGCCCATCACTGAACTTACCAAACTACATTATTCACAGTCTTAGCAGTAATTTCCATCTCGTTTCATTGTGTTTTTTTTTTTTTTCCCTCTTCTTGGAAGGGCTGTTGAGTGGCCAGACGTCCCCAGCCAATCCGAAACTGGAGAAACTGGATTCCCAGCAGGTGTTGCAACTCTGCCTGCGCTATCAGGATCACCTGCACCAGTGTGCGGAGGCCGTGGCTTTCGATCAGAATGCTTTGGTTAAACGAATCAAGGAGGTAACAGACCATGGGGAGATTCCAGTGCTGACTCGGTATTACGATTCCCTGTAATTCTCGTTTCCTTTCTGCTGGGGAAGGTGGTGAACAGCCCCAGCTGTATGAGAACCAGTCATTTTCTAAACTAGGACTTGACAGTTGTCTCTATTCCTTTGGGGAGAGTGTCTTTCCTAGCAGTGAAACGTGGTGGTAAAAAGGGTGGTCCACAGAACTCGGCTGATCTGGAGTTTGGATCCTAGTTCACTGCTGATTTGCTTGGGTGAGTTGCTTAACTTCCCTTTGTCTCAGTTTCCGCCTATGAAAAATGGGCTGATAGTAGTGACCTAGCCCGCGAGTCGCAGGACTGTGAAATCACTCGGCAAGCACTAGCTAGTATTAGTATGAGTAAAGTCCTGCCATGCTCATTTGTTCTAGCTGACGTTCCATCTTCAAATTGACTTAGCCGTTTCCTGTTCCCAGGAGGTTATTATTTCTTGGAAAGCAGGAGCCTCACATCTCTGTCAATGATATATTCTGTTAGCGCATGAAAACTCAGTGACATTTATTGGTTTTATGGAAACGATTATGCCTATTCAACCCCCAGTGTCCTTTGTGAGGGAGTAAACAAGATAATTCATGCAAAAATACTTAGTACCCTAAAGAGCTTGGTGCATGTGTGCGATTATTGCTAACAGTGAGTACTATTAAGCACTTGATGTGTCATTTACAGGGCTACTGTGTGGCACGATTCTGGGGCACCAAGGATTAAGTAAATACTCTTATCAAAGTTTTCAGTCAAGAGATTTCTATTTCTGATACCTTGAAGTAGTGTCATGAAGAAAATGCTGGGGGCTCTGCTTTGGAGAGACCACTTACATGCATGGTACCCACTAGATTTATTTAACAAAATGGCCCTGGTCATTAACCCTGATGAGTGAAGAAGATGAATGTGAAGAAACACATAGGTGCTGGGCTGAGAATCACTGCAAGGTGATTTCCAATTAGTAATAGAGGCAGCGTGTCCTCCAGCTTACAAAGTAGTCATGAGTTATGTTGACATTTATGTTTTCCAACATCACCACCATTTTGGGACTTGCATCAGTTGCTGCATGCATGCAGATACTCTTCTCTTCTGGTTTAAATACTGTTATTTGGGAAAGAATTAAGTGCGACCTTTCACATTGCATGTGGCCTTTTGAGATATTCAAAACTTACTTGCTGTATTATGGTGTACAGGAGCTTGAACTCACACACATGGCTCTGAATCAGCATCGCTGGGTTTTCAAATATTTTAATTCTGGGCTCTCCATCCCCCCCTTGCCAAGGAGGTCTAGGGCATGGTCTGTGAATCATGATTTAACATGCTTACCAGATGATACCAATGCCACACTCCATTAGCTGGGATTTGGAGACCACTGGTCTTAGAGCACTCGGTTCCAAAATAAGTCTACAAAACTAGTTCCCTGAGACTTTCAGACTTTCTATGTATTCCATCCCCATGCCTTGGAAAGTGACAATGTGTATTATCTTTTGTAAAGTTCTTAAGAGTTTTGCAGTAAAGGAAACCAGCACTTTTCACTTGTTTGATCTCAGAACCCCTGTCTTAGGTAACAGCTATTAATATCCCCTAGAAGTGTTTTGTAGAACATTCTATTGGAATGTCACAGGCATGAGCTTCTACCATTTTTGACTGTTGTGCTAGAAGTTAACTGCGACATTGAGTTTCATAGAGAAGATTTGAGAGTAAGTTTTTGATGTGTCTTGTCTTCTTTTTCAAAGATCTAGTCCGTAATTGTAATTTTGCAGTTTAGAAAAGTATGGTACAGGGACCAGCAGTTAGCGTAATGGCTATGTTGCTGGACTCCCACGTAGTCGACCGCGGTTCGCGTCCCGGACCCGGTGGCTTAAACTCACGCCAGGCGTGTGTGCGTGCATGCCCAAGATCCCGAGAGGAGAATGGAGGAGAAGGGGTTGCGGCGTGGCCATCCCCCCTGGGGGGTGATTTCTCGCTTTCTGTCTCTCTGTCTCTCTCTGTCTGTCTGGAGAGCGCACGTGCCCTATAGCAAAAAAAACTCTCAAAAAAAAAAAAAAAAAGAAAAGTATGGTACAGAGAGACTGAGTGACCAGCTCAATGTTAGAGCATTGGGGAGCTGGCAGGTGGCATGGAGGTTAAAGGTGCTGGACTCCCACATGGCCAACTGTGGTTCGAGTCCTGGACCTGGTGGCTTTCTTTCTCACTTTCTCTCTCTCTCTCTCTGTCCCCACCTCTGGTCAAATTAAAAGAAAGAAAGAATGTTAAATAAAATAATTCTTTTTAAAAAATGTTCGAGAGCTGGGTAAAGTATCGAGTCATCAGAATTTTGAAATAAAGTCTTGCAATTGAATTTTTAAAAAGTCACGATGTATTTTTCTGTTTTTCTATGCAAAAATGCAATTATGACTTTTTGGATGACCCGGTGTTTTGTAGCTGGTAGTCCCAGGGAGAGCTACTCATTATTCAAGAGCTACCAACATTTCAAGACTCTAGAGCAGTGTTTCTCAGCCCTGGCTTCATGTAAAAATCACCTGGTGGTTTTTTCCTCCAATATATTTGATGGAAAATTGTACATACTCTGAAGGAGACAGACAATGCAGTGAACCTTCCTATACTCATTACCCACCTACTACAGTCGATTTGTGAATGCTCCTGTTTCATTCATACTCCTAGCCTCCCCTCACCCCACTGGCCTCTTTTATAATAAATCTCAGACTTAGTATTACATTAAAAATATGTATCTTGGAGCCAGCAGGTGGCATGGTGGTTAAGGTGCTGAACACCCACATGGGCAATTGTGGTTCAAGTCCTAGATCTAGTGGCTTGAAACTCATGCCAGGCATGTATGTGTGTGCCTGCCCAAAATCTCAAGAGGAGAGTGAAGGAAAAGGGATTGTGGCATGGCTGTCCTCCCTTGGGGCTGATTTCTTGTTTTTCTCTCTCTCTCTGTCTCTTTGGTGGGGACATGCTCCCTATAACAAAACTCTTTCTCTTAAAAGAAAATTTTATCATTAAAAGTAGATTATTTTAGAAAACTTTCATTTGAATGAGTTTTAGACTCAAAGAAAATTCATTGGCCCCAGTTGGTGGTGTGGTAGTTAAGGCAGCCAGGTCCCTTATGGCTGATGGCGTGTTCCAAGTCCTGAACCTGGTGGCGTGGAGTCCTGGACCTGGTGACTTGCTTTTTCACTCTCTCTCTGGTGAGTGCACGTGTCCTGTAACAAAAGAAAAAAATAATCATAAATAAAATTGAATAAATACTTCTTTGAAAGAAAGAAAGAAAAATACATTGGGTGCATAAGCATACATGCCCAAAAATCTCAAAAGGAGAAATGAAGAAGGGATTGTGGTATGACCATCCCCTATTGGAGGGTGTGCTTTCTCACTTTCCTTCTTTCTTTCTCTCCCTCCCTCTCTGATGAGTGCATGTGCCCTCTAGCAAATTTAAAAATAGAAAAATTGCAAAAGTAATTTTGTAATTTCTTTTGTGGGGTACCTAAATAAAACCCCCATGCATCTTCCCCTAAACTTAGCGTCTCATATAACCCTTAGTTCAGTGATCAAGACCAGGATATTAGCATTGGTACAATACTGTCAACAAAATGGAGATCTTATTTGAATTTCAACGGTTATTCCACTAACAAAGGACTTCTTTTAAAATATGCAGGAATGGGGACCAGCAGATGGAGTAATGGTTACGTCGCTGGACTCCCACGTGGTCAGCCGTGGTTTGAGTCCCAGATCTGGTGGTTTGCTTTCTCACTTTCACCCCGCCCTCTTTCTCATTCAGTCCATGTCTGGTCAAATTAAAGTAAATAAATAAATAAAGTTAGATAAAATAATTCTTTATAAAAAAAAGAATTTACAATTGTTTAACAAAAAAATCCTCACACCCTTGCATGTGTGTGCTTACAAGATCTGGAGAAGAGAATGGATGAGAAGGGATTGTGGTGTAGCCATCCCCCCCAGGGGGTGATTTTTCACTTTCTGTCTTGCTGTCTCTCTGGTGAGTACATCTGCCCTATAGCAAAAATCTCTCTTAAAAAATAAAATAAAAAATAGAGGGATGGTGCTATTATACCTAAAATATTTAACAATTATGCCTCAATTCATTCAGTATAGCTGAGGTGCAGTTAAGAAAATACTGATGCAGGTTCTCACTAGAGCAAAGTCTCTTAAGGGTGTGGGAGGAAAGGGGCGGCTGGCTCTTGGTATTTATGAAAGTGCCCTGGGTGATTCTCCTGTGTAGCCAGGGTTGAGAAACCAGTGTTCTGGAGCATTCTATTAAAAATATTAAACTGAGGAACCAAAGGTGGTGTGAGTTTAAGATGCTGCCAAAGGTGGTGTGAGTTTAAGATGACTGACACGGTTCAAGTCCCTGAACGGGCAGCCGGAAAATCACATCAAGTACTTGTGCACACATGCCCAAAATCCCAGGGGGGAGAATAGAGAAGGGACTGTGGCTTAGCCATCCCTCCTGGGGGGGTGATTTCTCATTTTCCATCTCACTGTTTCTCACTGTCTCTTTCCGCTCTGTAAGAGCACATGCCGTATGGCAAAAACCTTTATAAAGACAAATTAAACTGAGCTAACAATTCTGTTTGAGGAACTTTAGAATTCATTTTGAATAGTGAGGATTATTGCAAAACAGAGAATGACGATGACAGAACCGAGCAGTTCCTTGGTCGGGAAGCCGAGGTGAACACTGTCACAGGGTTCCCACTGGTGACTTAATGTGTCTGTGCTATCCCTGTGGATGTTAGCCGACTCCCACAACACATCCATCCATCTCACTTCAGAGCTGAAATTAGTCACTTCCAAATGAATAAAGCAGAGGATACAGTGTTGATCAAACACTAGCTCTCTGATATTATTCCAGATGTTTCCTGGAAACTTGTAAGGCGTGTGAAGAAGTAACGTAATGCCCTGAGTGTTGACAGGTGGGGGACCTTGAGAGCCATGGAGAGCATGTGTTAGTGCAAGCGCA